AAGTGAAAGCCAACTCAGTCAATTCGAACAAATAATACAGAAGGGAAGGACTGTAGAAGAACACGAAAACTTGAGAGGTATAATTAGCAAAATTTATAAGATAATAATTGAAATGAAAGATGAAAAAACAAAAAAGTGCACCCTTAAAGAGATTTGGGAAGAAGATTTAGGGATAAAAATAAGCGAAATAGAGTGGCAACAATTATGGGGACAAAGACAGTTAAAAAATTTATCGATACGAGTTAAAGAAAATTATTACAAGTTAATATGGAAGTGGTACTTGACACCGGTAAGAATAGCATATATGAATAAAAATAACTCAATAAATTGTTGGAGAGGGTGTCAAGAACCAGGAACATATATACACATGTGGTGGCAATGTAAATATGTAAATAATTTTTGGGAGAAAGTATTTAGAGAAATAGAAAATATAATGAATATAAAAATAGATAAAAGTCCTAGTATTACTATCACTATATAACGAAAAGCAATTGAAAAAGGAGGATAAAGAAGCGATAACAAACTTACTAACTATAGCAAGACTGCTTATAGCAAGGAATTGGAAAAAAGAAATGAATATACAAATAGAGGAGTGGTATAAAGAAGCATGGAAAATAGCAATAAACGATAAATTGACATGTATATTAAAGGTTAAAAAAGGTATATGGAAACAAAGCGATTTTGATGCTGTATGGGGAAGATTTGTGGTAAATGGATTAAAAAATAAGGAAGGAAAATTACCGTCACAAGAAGAAATGAAATTTTGGACAGATGAAATGTAAGAAGGGTGGCTTGAAATGGGTGGAGGGGAGCACTGTGGTGAAAAAAGGGGGAAAAAAAATGAGAAAAAGGGGGAGAAATGTCAGAGTAAAATAATAAAATAACATGTTAAAGAGGTTGATGTACAAAATGTAATAGTATGTAATAAAGTGATAAATCAATAAAAAATTTATAAAAAAAAAACACTATGGAATCCTGAGAGTTGTAGTTTGAACTCTTTGACAGAGAGGGTGAAATAATACTACAGCCCCCAGGATTCCATAGCAGTGAGCCATGGCAGTTAAAGCAGCATCAAACTGCAGTGCAGAAGCACCCACTGGCCAAATGTTGTCCACTTGGAGAAAAGTTCCAATGAAAGTTTTCACACTTTCAAGAGGCGAGCATTTGACTTTTTTTCTAAAGGGAGGGAGGGGGGGGGGTTCACATGGAAAACCATAGATATGTGGAGGTTGGAGCCAATGCATATTTCTTTGTGTCTTTTCCTTGTTTCTTCTCCAGCCCTCCTGACTCTGACTGGGCTTAGCATCTATGTTGCCTACTCTGCTGCGGCCTTCAAGGAAGTCAGCTACCTTCTGAGAGAGAAGAACCTCCTGGAACATATCAACATCCAGTTTGGCTGGTCCTTAGCCTTTGCATGGTTCTCCTTTGCCACCGAGGTCCTCACAGGGCTAGCCTTCCTCCTGATGTCTAGGATGGTGGGCAGGCAACTAAGGGAGAATTCCTCCATATAATGAACCCAGTCATAACAGGATTCTCCTAGATCAGCAGATTTATTCATCAATAGGTCAACATGGACCATCTTTCTCACCCTTTTTTTTTTTTAGAGTTATGGTAGACCATTGATATCTCTTGGAGTTTTGTTCCAGGACCATCCCTGTATGGATACGAATATCCATGGATGTTCAAGTCCCATTATGTTTACTGGTGTAGTAAAATGCCAAAATCAAGCTTTGCTTTTTATTTTTTAAAGAATGTTTTCGAGCCATGGCTGGTTGAATCCATGGATAAAGAATGTAATGACGGATAGAGAACTTTATTGCACTAAAATGCTGTTCCATTACAATCCTGTTATCATTGATAGGAGATAAATACCATGTCAAGCACCTTCAATATCGTACTTCTCTTCATTAATGCAATTCCTCTGATTCTCTGTGTGGTCCGACCTTCGTACTTCAGCATGGCCTTCTAATTCTGCCTTTCTGCATTACTGCTGTTCCTTATTTTTTCATTTTGAGCAAAAAAACAAACAAAACCCAAATATAATTACAAAATAAAAGGAAAATAGACAAGTTGGGAGTAGAGGGGGAAGGAGGAAAATCCCACCCCTAATGTCACATTATTGCAGCTATAGAAGTGGAAAGGTCCCATTACACTGGTAGGCAATGGGAATGTTGTGAGATTGAGAGCTGTTGACGGGAAGTTCTGTCTCACAATGTCTCTATGACAGCACTCTGTCAATTATAGGCAGGCTCTTCTTATAGCTTTTTCTATCTTTCCTCCGTTGCCTCATACATCTTCTCCACCCCCCTTCCTTCCCTCCTTCCTTCCTTCCTTCCTTCCTTCCTTCCTTCCTTCCTTCCTTCCTTCCTTCCTCTCCTCTCCTCTCCTCTCCTCTCCTCTCCTCTCCTCTCCTCTCCTCTCCTCTCCCCCTCTTCTTCCTTCCCCTCTTCTTTTCCTTTCCTTCTCCTCTCCTTTCTTTCCTTCTCTCCTTTTTCTTCCTCTCCCTCCCTCCCTTCTTTTCCCCTCCCCTCCCTCCTTTACCTATGACTTAACAGCAGCCAAGTCCCTTCACTTCCTTTCTTTCCCAGTGACACCACAGAAAGCCACTTCACCCAGCCACAGCCAATCTGCTTGTTTCCTTTCCTTTCCCAGAGCTCTGGACCCAAAAGGAGTGGTTCCTTTAGTTAATAATTTTAAGTTGGACAATGAAGGGTCTGTGGGTCAGGTTTGGCCCAGATCCATCAATCCATTTAGGTGCCTTTGCAGTACAAACGTAAACCCCAACCAATGTATATTTACACACGTACTTTGACTTTTATAGATATAGATATCTAGGGACAGGAAAATTATGGTGAGGAGGCACACCAACAAAGGGGCAAGCACATGTAATAAAAATAAATAATAATATGCTTTATTTATATTCTGCTCTATCTCCCCGAGGGGACTCAGAGAGGATTACAGTATGCACATATATAGGCAAACATTCAATGCATTCTATACAGTGTACAATGACATATAATACGCAAACAAAGGCAAAGGTTTCCCTTTCCATCTCTGGCGTCTGGAGGCAATGCTCAACTCTGGCCATGGGGAGGTGCTCTTGTTCCATTTTCCATGCCGAGGAGGCTGGTTTCTGTAGACCCTCCTGGTCGCGTGGCAGGCATGGCTGCATGGGAACCTTTTGCCTTCCCACCGAGGCGGTACCTATTGATCTACTCACATTACATGTTATCAAATTGCTAGGTTGGCAGGAGCTAGGGCTGACAGCTGAGAGCTCACCCCGATCTCCGGCTTCGAATTGCCAACCTTCCGGTCAGCAAGTTTTTCTGCAGTTGTGGTTTAACCGCTGCACTACTGCAGCCTAACTGCAATTGCCTCCTGGAATAAAGTCCTAAACCATTTGAGATCCTCTTTCTTGACTCTTGCCTTGGTCTCCAGGGTTGTTTTCTTTCAGTGTTTGGATCTGCTGACACCTTTCATCTCAGAAGCCTTCCATGCTCAACAAAGCTACAAAATAAACAGGTAGTTAGAACTAGATTCTGCACACTGAGCAAACTTGCATCCCGTCTCTTCTTTTGCCCAATATGTCTTCCCATTTTAAAAATATTCAAGAGCTAGTTTTTGCTATGAAGAAACTGTGTCAGATTGTGTGAAGAACACTGGCAGTGCAGGGAAAGGATGGCAAAACAATTTAACACCAGGAAAGAGTCCTGAAATGATGGTCTTTGCTGACATCTCATGGTTGGAGTGAGGAACTGAGCAATTTGGAAAACAGGGAAAGGCAGATAAGAAGAACTTAAAGGTCAAGGAATGATGGTCTTTGCTGACATCTCATGGTTGGAGTGAGGAACTGAGCAATTTGGAAAACAGGGAAAGGCAGAAAAGAAGAACTTAAAGGTCAAGGAATCGTCAGGAAAAGGTGGGAGGAAAGGCAGCTAAAAAGGCCAGTGCTAATCTAGGCTACATCAATAGGAGGATAGCATCAAGATAGAGGAAAGTCATAGCCCAGTGTTCTCCCTGAGTGTCTTCTGGGGCCAGAATATTTTAAAATTAATTCTATTTAAATATTTATATTTTGTGGGCTTTAAAGTGTATAGTTTCTATAGCTGCAAGCTGCTTTGGGTCTCTGTCATGTGGCATTGTAATAAAATAATACGCAATAATAATAATAATAGCAAACAACTGAAAAAGCTGACATGATATGAGGATGTAAAGATCAAACTGCAAAGACTCTGGCACAAGCCAGAAAAGGTGGTCCCAGTGGTGATCGGCACACTGTGCAGTGCATAAAGACCTTGGCCTGCACTTAATCACAATCAGCACTTACAAAATTACCATGAGCCAGCTGCAAAAGGCCACCTTACTGGGATCCGCAGGCATTATTCGTCGATACATCACACAGTCCTAGACACTTGGAAAGTGTCCGACGTGTGATCCAATACAACAGCTACAATACAATTAGTTGTGGACGAATCTTGTTGTGTTTCAAATAATAATAATAATAATAGGCATCCAGGGACTGTTAGTGGCTCTGGGGCTGTGTTTTCCCAATTTCTCTTGTAGAATAATGCTTTTTTTTCATGTCTCTTGGCTACCTAAATAAAAGGATCACCAAGTTTGGATTTCGGCTCTTTTTTAATAGCAAAGGTCTCTCTCTGTGTTCGATTTTTACAAACCATTCCCTTTTCTTTTGCTGTAGCAAATGGGGAAAAAGAAGCCAAACTTGACTTTGGGTAATCATTTGGGAACATTGGTCACCGCCCTCATATTTCTATCCGACAACGGCGACCCTGGGACATCCGCATCTGGCTGCTGAAGGATTGCCTTCCTTTCCCCAGGCAACCTGGCCTGCTCAAATATTTAAAAGGCAATATTGTCTTGCTTGCAGGCAGGGTGCAGAGCAAATAAATGGCACTGCACTGCGGCGCCGTTGCGTCTCCCTGAGTCGGATGCCTTGGTGTAACAGCCCTTTTACTGCTGCGCTCGGCGGCATGGCTTTGCGTCGTGCGAAGAGGAAACTTAATTATGAGAAGGGAAAGGCATCCCCATAAGAATGTTTTAGGAAGATGAGACGGGCAACCTAGGAAGTTGCCTGAATTGTGCACGCTACACATGCACACACATGCAAAGGCACAGGCGTATCATGTGCCAGCTCAGAGTCAAATTCTGGAGCAGGGAAAGATGGATCCTGCAAGCTGTATGTCTAAGGGTGCATCTACACTGACAATTTAATGTGGATAGAAAGTAGTGTGAAAATGCCGTGTTTAAATGGCGTACAACACAAACACAAGCAGGACATGAATTAGAGGCCCTAAAGTTCTAAACCAAGGAGTCACCTATGAGCCCTTGGATTAGATCTTCTAGCTCAGGCCTGGGCAAACTTTGGCCCTCCAGGTGTTTTGGACTTCAACTCCCACAATTCCTAACAGCCCCAGGTTCTTTCTTTTTCCTCTCTGGATGGCCGAAGTTTGTCCATGCTTGCTCTAGCTTCTCTAGCACTCTTTCCTAGGGCTCGCGCCTTCCTTCCCTTCCCTTCCCTCCCTCCCTTCTTTTATATTAAGTGTAAAACTCTGCTACTTTTCACTTTTGCAGGGGTCCTCTGCCCCTAACCCTAATGAATTTGAAGGGCTGACTATATTTACTATATATTTCTTACATGCGTGCCCTGTCATGTATGTAGTTCTCTTTTTTCTTGTTTATGTATTCACAACATTCCTATGATAATAGGCCAAAATGGGGTTGCCAGACTAAAAACTGGATAGGGCTTCTGTATCTTTATTGGCTGTACAGAAAAAGGAAGAAAAGGAAGAAAAAAAATGAAAGAAAAAAATGAAAGAAAAAAAAAGTAGAATAAATGCAATGTATTGTCGAAGGCTTTCATGGCTGGAATCACTAGGATCTTGTGGGTTTTTTCGGGCTATAGAGCCATGTTCTAGAGGCATGGCTCTATAGCCCGAAGCATGGCTCTATAGCCCGAACATGGCTCTATAGCCCGAAAAAACCCACAAGATCCTAGAATAAATGCAGTTTGACATTGTTGTTGTTGTTGTTGTTGTTGTTGTTGTTATTATTCTACCTTTTCTATCTTAAAAGAGACTCAAAGTCGCTGAGATGCTAAAAGAAATGAAAATGTGCCATTTAAAACCAAAAACACAATGTTCAAAGAGAATCAAAGAGAATTAAACACAGCAGGCTCAAAAATAGAGAGTCACAACCATTAAAATCTATATAAATAAAAATGTAAAGTTCGTTTGTGGGACTAACATACTTCAAAAACCACTGGACAAACTGACACAAAATTTGGACAAAATACACCTATCAGGCTAACGAGTGATCACCACTCATAAAAATACTGAAAAACACAGCAGAAGAGACTTAAAAAGCCAAAACAAAAAATTTACATTACAATGCTTGCACAAAACCACACACACACATATACGCAAACACATATATACACAAATATATACACACACAAAACACATACACACAGACTGGGCCACAGGAACATGTGTCTGGGGATGGCTAGTCATCAATAAATCTATTAAAATACCTACAAAATTCATCACACCCTCAGACAGAGACCCCTTCTACACTGCTATATAATCCTGATTATCAAAGCGGAGGATACACATTATCTGCTTTGAATTGCATTATCTGAGTCTACACTACTATATAACCCATTTGAAAGCAAATAGGGGCTGGGTTTTAGCATAGGGGGTTAAACTGCCAGCTGCAGAAAATCTTGCCGATTGAAAAATTGACAGTTCAAGCCCAGATTGGGGTGAGTTCCCAACTATCAGCTCAGCTCCTGCTCACCTAGCAGTTCGAAAGCAATAATGTGAGTAGATAAATAGGTACCTCTTTGGCGGGGAGGTAATAAAAGGCACCCA